CTAAGTGGTCGATCATTATGCGCGCTGGGCTATCGTTCGGTCCTACGGGAGGTTTGGTCTAGGAAGTAGATTTTCTTCAACTTTGAGGGAAGATTCGAAACATATTTAAACAAACAGTCGCCATCGCTAAATCGGACTCGGCTTGTTCCATCCGTTTCCGACAGATCCTAGATCAGAATGGCTAATTTTTCTCTCTCCCAGTACTTTGTTAGCGTTACCACTCTGTCATATTAGTAATGAAACACGAGTTTTATGTTCATCTTTTCTTAAATCCGAGTACTGAAATTTATTTAGAGATGAGTTCAATTTTTGTATGCATATATTGATATATTATTTTTGAAGGTTGTCGCAGCTTGGGCTGCGATGCTTCATAAAATACAACGCTCCCATTAATCTTTAGAGTCGAAAACACGCCTTATTATCATTATGATATTAGAAGTAATTTCTTTACTCAAAAGTAAATTAAATGGCCTATCCCTGATGGTTATCTCCGCCTGATGCATAGTAGTTGCTAGCCCATGTAAACATGCTGGATAATATGAATGTATTTGATGTAATTTAATTTATTTTTGTTCCCTCCAGCAAGATGATATGTTGGATATAATAATTTGTAAGTTTAATGGATGATGCATGTGTTGTTTTCAATTCATATTTTTTTGGTTCTAATTACTCGCATGTGCAAAGAATGGACCTGTAATTATATACATATTTCTTCCACTTTGTTTTTTGGTCTGAGTTTGTGCTAGTTTTTAATTATTGCATGTATTACATTAGCACTCAGTGTTGTTTCCACCCCCCCCCCCTCCAAAATTATTTTATTTTTTTGTTCACAATTTCCTTTTTCGTTTGGTATCGTTGATTTAATATGTTTTAATTCAGTTATTAATTTAATGGAAATATTATCTCAGTTCATTTCATTATGCTCACATGAATTAATTAGTTTAAATTTAGGTAGCATAATAGAGAGCTGTTAAATATCCAGTCAATTTGATTAAAAACAATAAGTGTAGTTTAAATCTTTGTAGATTTCAATGCATCGATATGGATGTTATATAAATTAAGCTGCTTATCTGATTATAATAAATTTATCTCGTGAAATTGATTAAAATAAAAATTAGGTTAGTTTTTTTTTTAAAGGTGACAATATATAGCTAAAATACTATATGTATTTATACAATTTCGATACGTAGCGTTTTTTTTTTTTATATCTTTGATGTATACAAAAAAAAGGAAATAATGATTTTTTTTTTTTTAAGTAATTAATTTTTGTGTGTGCACTTTTTAGCATCGCAGAATAAAATGTTCCAAGTTCTTCTGTGTATATATGGCTCCTTCTGTCTCGGAAGATGAGTCACTGGCTTTTGTTGCGGCTTGAGACGGGTCAGAATCTAGATGACTGATCAAGCCAGTTCTAGAGAGACAGAGTTTGCTAGAGTTCGTGCATTTATATTCATTTGTTCTAGGGCTAGCTGACAGGGCAGCTTTCTTTTTTAAAATCTTGGCTGATGCAGCTTCATTTCTTTTGCATTCGGCGAAGTTCGTACCAGCACGTACAGTCTGTCTCCATGCTGTCCTGTCTTGGGCTATCTCCTCCCGCATACTTTGGTCAATGCCCGTGGCCCTCATGTCTCACCTGCAGACATCTCTGTCTTGGGCGATCCTTGGTTCTGGCTCCCTCTGCAAGCTCAGCGTATAGGATGTCTTTAGGGATTCTTCCGTCTGGCATGCAAGTGACATGTCCGAGCCAGCGTAGTCTTCTCTGTGCATGTTGGCCCGTGTCAAAACTTCCTGGTTGGTGACACGATCCCTCTAGGAGATACCTGGAGATGTAAAGCGCTTGATTTCCGAACAGGGTCCTGAGTTTCAATCCTGGTGTAGGCTGGGATTTTAAATTTTGAGATGTGTAGTCCACCCAGCTCTAATGGGTAACTGGCATTAGTTGGGGGAAAAGTAAAGTCAGTTGGTCGTTGTGCTGGCCACATGACAACGTCGATAAACAGATGGCCTTTACCCTATAGATTGCGAGGTCTGAAAGGGGACTTTACGAGCGAAAGAGCATCGAAAATTTAATTCTACGGTGCTAAAAAGTGAAAAAAAAAATTGTATATGTTTATTGTTTTCCAACACTGTACTTTGCTATCAATACTTTTAGTTTCTGTGCACTGAATACACTTGCTACTTTTGGATAAACCCCCATACAAATCTCTAATAACAGGAGTAAAATCTTCTAAGTTTAACGTTCTCCAATGATTAGCGATACTGGGATTTTCCTGTGTTAATTTGATGCACAAGATGCTGCCCACTTTCATAGTAGTGGAAAGATAAGGTGTTAATCTAACATTATTTCTTTTTTTTTATGTTTCAGTTATGTACCGAAAATGTGCAGGAAAATGTTCAAGAAATCGTGTATGTATTCGAACGTAATACGTTGCATCGTATGTCTTTGTCCATTGTCCATACATGTTATTTACATATCAACGCTTTAAAAAAAACAACAATTTTATGGGGCGTGGTAGCTTGGCTTTAAAGCGGTATTGAATCCGAGAGGACAAGAGGTTAAGTCCATTTGATCTTCGGTTCTCTTTAAACATTGACGTTCGTGTGTCCAATGAACAGCTGTAAAGGTTATGTGTCATTAGTCGGGGAAAGTAATTGCCGTTCGATGCCTTGCTAACTATATAACTGCTTCAGACACAGACGAGATTTATATCATTTTACACATGCACACAAGATCGTGAAGGAGAACTTAAAAATTTTTAGGCTAAACAAGAAAGAAACACTATCCCATAGAATTCCATAGATGCACATAACTTACAATCATTTGTACCGTATCGTTTCCTAACGCTGAACCTTTGTTCCATTATTTCGTTCCCTGTTGGCTTGAGATGATTATTAGTTCAATAAAAAGTTTCTTTTTTTCCTGTGTGATGTAAATTTAATGAATACGAAAGTTAATTCCTACTTACATTTAGAAGTATCACTCCAATAACTTTTTTCATATCTTTGTCTCTGTTTCTTTTTGTTTCACTCTGGTATTAATTCCATTCTTTTTTTTTAAATTCTTTTTTTAAATCTTTATCTCCTTTCTCTTTTTTAGTCTTTTTTTTTCTCTCTCTCTCTCTCTCTCTCTCTCTCTCTCTCTCTCTCTCTCTCTCTCTCTCTCTCTGCAAATCTATTTTTCTCCTTCAATTTTTCTCTCTCTCATTCTTTTTATCTCTTTCTTTCCTTCTCTTTCGTCTCTCTCTCTCTCTCTCTCTCTCTCTCTCTCTCTCTCTCTCTCTCTCTGCAAATCTATTTTTCTCCTTCAATTTTTCTCTCTCTCATTCTTTTTATCTCTTTCTTTCCTTCTCTTTCGTCTCTTTCTCTTTTTTCCTCCCCAGAATTCATCTGCTTGTAAAGTTATTTATGATGACCTTTTTAAATTAGCTTTTCACTTTTTTCCTCCCAGAATAACGGCAATCTCACCAATGATGCGAATACTGAGGTATCAACCCCTTTACAGACTTCTGAAACAGTTAAACCATGATTAATGAACACCTCTTTTGCGAAACATTCAACAACAGCATTAATAGGACATATGTCGTGGGCGTAGCCAGGAGTACTCTCAAGAGGAGTATTTGAACGCCCATGACATATGTATTACAAGTCAGACTTCAATTACAATTGATATTTCAAACACTATCGAGCAAGTAACAAGTAGCGTTTAAATAACACAAATAGACAGCTGTCTTGAACAAAAAAATGATACACATTTGACACTGTGTTACTGCTGTATAACTTGACAAGAGTGTTACTATAAAGTAATCTTAGAGCATCTGACGTCTGCTAAACACAGCTTGAACATGTCTGAGAGAGAGAGAGAGAGTGAGAGAGAGAGAGAGATTGATATATGTAATGCACGTATGGTGATTGTTTATGTACTATATAAAGCAGAAAGTAAGGCGTATGTATGTGATATGTATATAACAAACAAAAATCAAAACCGTTTGACCAATCTTGATAAAACTTAACATTAATGTTCCTTAGATCATAGCGGAGACCGTAGGGTTTAATGCCCCCCCCCCCACGACTGCAAGGCCCTTAAAATAAAATAAAATACCTAAATTTATCTTTATTAAAGAGATAAACTTTTAACCGAATTGGGTAAACCCGTTTTCAAAGTATTTATATTTGATCAAATGAATATGTTGGCTAAACAGGTAAACTTATATACATATTCTACTTTTTTATTTGTTTTTGTGGCAAAAATAAATGCGAAGGGAAACGTTCGCCATGTTTGACAGGTTTAAATCATATCCACTACCCTCAACTAAGGCTTGCAGGCAGCGTGTAATATTTGGCTACTGTTTCAATAAGTCGAAATATTGGTGTAGTGTTCAAATCTGAATTTCATTTGCATTCAGGTTGTGACTTCCAAAAATTATTTCTAGTACGAATGTAATGGGATTTGATGTAAATCAATGTTAAACGATCTACTTTGTCCCAGGTGTCCTAAATGTTTCCAAAATGCGAGTCAAGGGCCACTTATTTTTGTTTAACACTTCACCACAAAAACATCGTCGAGTGCTATTGAACTGCTGCTGTGGCCTCAACATTCAGAAATTTTAAGGACATATCATAGTTTAAAGGTTCAGACATGGTACTCGGTTGAGAATCACTGATTTAAGTACGTTATTGGACCGATAAATAAATATGAGTTTAATGTTTGTTTTTCTTTGGTGTGGATACTCAGTTATTGTGCTGTGACTTTGTAAGATAGGCCCGCTTGTTGTCGGTGAATGATATTTCTAATCTAGTATTGAAGATAACTGATTAGTGTGGATATTTATATCCAATCGGAGGGAATATACTGCAAATAGCTGGCACACTATTGCAGCAAACTTCATAGAACTTGAAAAAAAAAAAGGATAAACTTGAAAATACTTGAATAAACTTGAAAATACTTGAATAAACTTGAAAATACTTGAATAAACTTGAAAATACTTGAATAAACTTGAAAATACTTGAATAAACTTGAAAATACTTGAATAAACTTGAAAATACTTGAATAAACTTGAAAATACTTAAATAAACTTGAAAATACTTGAATAAACTTGAAAATACTGTGACTGTGTTTAAGGGTAGATGTTTAAACTAATACTCCATCTATATGTTATATTTTATATGCATTTTTGTTTGCTTTTTTGATAATCGCACAATGTGCACTCCTGTTCGCATTTGCAAGGTTGCAAACTATATTCAATGACCTATTTTGTCTGTGTGGGTTGAATCCTTTACACATTATTTCTCCAAGTTTCTATTCTGGTATGAAGTTGAATATTTGCACAATTTCTCATTGTCAATGACTTTTAAATTCCTCAATATACGTTTTTAATTAATTGTTTATAATTATTTTTGTGGCTAAATGTTGTTTGTTTAGGATTGGTGAATGAGGTCCATTATACAAAAACAATAGTGTATATTATGATGCATTGGTTTGTGGCATGATTTTATTTTGCACTGCCACATATATGAGTTGTCAAATGAATGGCGTTGCTAAACATTCTCTTTTGGATAGATAGTGCGTATATATGTAAGTTTGTGGGAATACAAAACTCACTACAATTTCATACAGGTCAACAAAACTTTGAGCAGCTAAAACCAATAAATGTAAAGTCTAAAGTTACGTTGATGTAGTCGATGTTGTTTTTACAATTAACACACTTCGTTTTGATGTTGTTTAGTGATGGCTGCCAAACTGCCTTTTTTATGTATTGGTAACAATGTTCCAACATCGCTTTCTTCAAGACTTGTGTTACAGAGTTGTCACGCCCTAATATAAACAAGCAACGGGCAATATGTGACAACAGCTAACATTTGACAAGGGCTAGCACATTTACCAGGTTAAAAATAGCCAATGCAATAAACTGTCCAATTTTTTTTGCTATATTATTATATTATATTTTCTATTTTTTTTTTCTACTTTCTATTGAACGTTGGATCATCTAAATTGCCAGTTTGACAACATACAATTTTGAATGGTTAGGTCTGTTGATTTGATTTTTCATTATTCATTGCTCACAATGTGATACTTTATTGATGTATAAGCTGTATTACACTCAAAATCTCATTGCCATTTTTTTCATGTTATTTTTTTTTTCTCCTTTTCTCCTATTTATTCCAGACATCAAATTATTGTTCATTTTTTTGTTTGTTATATATTTGTTTATATATTTGTTATAGATTTTGTTCCATTTTTAACTGACCCCGATAGGAAAAAAAAACTTTATTTATTTTATGTATTTGTCCGTCCCGTTTTGATCTCAAAGACTAGGAAAAAAAAGGAAAATCCTCTTTCATATTTTGTAGCTTTCAAAGTTCTGAATCAAAGGCTCCGTTTATCCTATGAAGGAGCACTGTTTTACTTTTAAAACTAAATATATAAGACTTAGTTATTCAAAATTACACCATTTTTAAAACAATTAACAGTAAAATGTAAGGACAAAATATCTACATTAGACCTAGATATAATTGTATCTATAACATCAAATTCTGTTTTGTCATTTGTCAAAATAAAATTGAAAAGAAATAAAATATTGTTTTAATTTGTGTTTTTTTCTGGTGATTGGGCTATTAATAAGACACTTGTTTAAGACGAAGGACGTCTTTCAAAGGCTAAATGAGTTATTAGCGGTATATCCATCCCCTGATACTTATCAGATACTGAAAACCTACAGTTGTCTGACATGAACAGACAGTATCAATGCCACAGTAAAATGTCCCAATTTCGATGTGCGGCACATGTAGTCCGCATGCCAGACAATCGCTTTCCCAAACAACTTCTGGAGCTGTGTTCATGAAAGCGTTTCCAGAGGCGTCAATACAAGCGTTATAAAGAAAGCATGAAAAGCTCCTCCAAGGAATCTGATAGGCAAGCTGGGAAGCAATAGCTATGGATCGCTCCTCATGGCGTGAAGCTGTGAGTTTCGGAGTCACGAATTAAAAAGATTGGCCAGCGTGAATGAGCGCCGATGGTCCCGGGTTCATACCCTGCCCGCTGCCATCCCACGTCATCCAGAAGGAGGCTTGGACTAGGAAGTAAATTATCTTTAACTCTAGAGGAACATACAAAACATGTAAAAAATTTGACAAAATATTCGCAGCTTTAAGCTACACAGAGATTTCCAAAACGGCTATAATGATTTTCTTATAAATTTGACAGTTTATGCATATCTTTAGAACAAAGAAAAAACTAGATTACTGGACACACAGTGAACACTAATGTTTAACCATTATATTTTATAAATATATAATCATCTTAAAATTCTCTTTGACTTTTTTTTACGGCTTCAACGGCATTGTTGCAATCGCAATGTTTCGCTATATTCAGTATGATAGACACTTTGTTAGTACTGTTAGACATTTAGTTAGTATAGAGACCCACCATAGATGACGAACATTGAACACGACATTTAGTGACGTCACGGCTTAGTTGGGTTAACAATTATGTATGTTAATATAGTCAGTTGGTGTTAGGACTTGGAAGGGATACCTTTATATTACGGACAGAGACTCGACTGTGGTCTTTTCAGTATTAAACTTCAGTTAAGCCTGTATAACGGTTTTGGTTTAGTCCTTTTACTTGTTTCATGTTTAGGTCTTGTTACTTGTTTGTTTATTGAATATAATACAAGAAACCCAGACACCTCCAGAGCAATCTGTCGAAGTCAGACAGCCATCAACAACTACACGGGCAAGGCGAATCACAAGTAAAATAAATAGACTTAATATGAACACCGTCTTTTGGAGTCGCAATGTTCCAGTCCACATGCCCATGTCAATTGAATAGCTGACGGTCAATGGAACTTATTTGCTCATAGCTCACTGGATAGACTTCTTGATGAATTGCATAACGCGTTTAAAAGCTCTTCTAGATTTTACCTTGTTAATTTGAACATCAACTTCACTATGTGGGTTGGCGAAAATGAGATGAGAAAAGTCTAAGAAGCGATGCGGGTAAATGTGGTGACGACATGCTGCAAGTGTCTGGAGGTCATGAATAAATAAATAATAAAATTTAATCTTGCCCTACTAAACTTAAACTCTGGACAACTCAGCCATTTTGAAGATTGAGACCGCAATGGTTTACCAAAGTTACCAAAAAGGATTTTTTAAAATTCTCAATTCCAGTGAAGTATTCCTTTGAAAGCCGACAATAATTAAGCTTTTCTATACATCAACCATCTGTAGTCTAATTAACTTTGCCATCACCTGCTGGTATGGTGATGCTTCACTTGCAAAAAGACTTAGACTAAAAACACTAATTAAAAAAAGCATATCACTCGAACACAGCTACCATCTCTTAATGAGCTTTTTCAAGAAAGACAACTTGCACCAATTAAACCACTGTTACACCAAATCTAGACGAAGTGGTCTTATCCTTTCCCTTAGGACTAAAACAGAAAGATTTAAAAATTCCTTTAACTCTTTAGTTTTGCCATCGTTACAAGACCATCTGTCGACCTCAAGATGTACAAAGAAGTCTAAATCATAAAAGCGCTGGTTGTGAGTGTACATGTGTTTCGTGCATGAATGTTGTTCGTATTTGCATCTATATTGTTATCGTTGCACTAGTGACGCTGAGGTTGTCAATTGTAGTCAAACTCAATTTCTATTGGTTTGGATCAATAACAGTTTGTCTTATCTTATGTTTCAACGTCTGAAGTACAAAGTTCAAATTTCATCAACTTTCACATGAATACATCTTTCTTGAGAAACGTTCTTTCGTTCCGTTTTTTCGTGTTTTTTCTACACAGATCTAGATTTCGACCTTAAATCTAATTCTCCTCTAGATGTAGATAAGTGTAGAGTGAAAGTGTGGAATTATCCTTAGATCAGTGTGATCATCAAATGTTTTTTTACATCTGTATGAAAGCGCGCACGCCCGTGTATATGTGTGTGTGTACGTAGAAAATGACTACAGCTTGAACTAAAAAGACTGTAGTTACTTTATGTTATATATTGAAGACTTTACTTCAAAAAAGATGATAATTACGCCCAACACATTTCATGTGTCAAGCTAGTCTAGCATGTTAATCAATGATTTTAACTTTACCACGTCGTTAGTTTTCCTGGCTTATTAAGGCAACTCATCCCATGCTCTAATGACACTCTAAGGAGAACTTGTACGAATTTGTTGTAGTATAAGAAACAGTAAATGTGCCTCTGTCTTTGTGTTTCATGGTTGAGTATTTGTCCTGAAGTGTTTCTAAGTTTAGTGAGTTTAATAATGGTGTTACTCTAATCAAGTTGGATTATTCGTTTGTTATATATCTTACTGCTTTTTTTTGTATTAAAATTTCTTTTAAATAAACCTGGTACGTGCGCAGCATAGTGTGAATGTCGAATGGTGCGAATGTGTGTTGAGAGGGTTACTGGGAGAAAGGAATCCAAAAATGTAAACGAAGTTATTTTTGAGATGTTATTAAGTGTTACTCAAGAATAAAGTCTTCATACATCTACTTTATATGAGTCTATTGGTATATAATTAAGAGTTTTATCTGCTCGTAAAAACGAGCGTATTCCACTGTACATAGTTGATCTCCTGTCAATAGATAGTAGAGATATTAAAGTCTAGATCTAGCGACAGGATACTATTAGACAAGCACAAGGCTGAGGTCGAAGGAAGAGCAGAGGTTCTTGGATCTTGAAGGAGCAGAACTAAGGAATCACGTTCAAGAAAGGTTAATGGAGAGGGAGAGATTAGCCAAAGACAGGGAGAGTTTAGCAATGGAAAAAAAGGAAAGAGAAGCCATGGAAAGAGAAAAAGCTATTGAAATTGGTTATTATTTGGCTATTATTGGTTTTGGAAAAGGAGAAGTCGGTGAAACTGTTAAAAACAGACCAAGAAAAAGAATGACAGAAGTGACACTTCAAGGATTAAACTGGCAAAATATAAAGGTGTGATTTTGAACGAAGACAAAATGGACAATAACATTTCCCTGAAGAAGTTCGTAATAGAAATGAGAGAACTGGAATACCCTGAAGACAATTGGATATTCTTATTGTCTAATCATTTTCAGCGGAGGTCCCTTCAAAAATATGTTTGAGTCAGGGTAACTACAATGCTGTAAAAGAGCAACTATTTCGATTTTTCGGGAAAAAAGAGGCTTTCTATCGCCAGTGGTTTGTTAATTGTGAGACAGAACCAGAAGATGACCCGCAGACATTCCTGGACAGAATGAGCAGCCATTTCTATAACTGGTTAGATACCGCTGAGGTAGAAAAAACCTTTGGCAGTATTAAGACATTTCTCATGCTGGACAAAGTGATGTACGAGTGTCAAGAGGAATTAAAAATATTTCTGTTAGACTGAAAACCGAAATCCATAGAAGACTGTCATGTATGACATATGTATAGTTTTAGAACCCCTGTAATATTTGGTGACTAGTAATTACTGAACCATTCCGTGCAGTTCGCACGAGATTTTGTCTGGTCGGGGACTGACCACGAGGTGGACACCTCAGTTGTTCTTGGACTATCGTAGAGAGAGGTATATTGTGGATATCTCGTCCAGTGTAGTAATGAATAGATATTAAAGTTGATTTTTGGAGCATGTGTGATATCTAGAGTATTCCATTGGATTATAACGCACTATGTTTTGTGAATATTTCTTGATGGCTGGACTTGCCAATATCTTTCATGAATTATATTCTACATGTAATAAAAACTATGTCTACTACCAGTGAGTCTATTAATTATTCTGAATATTTTGGTCAGAGAGTTCAGCATGTAAGTGTTCTCACGCACTAGCAAATCTAGTGCGCGAGTGAAAGTATTTAATTAAGAAGACAAAGTATATTAAAGTATCTACAAGAGGTATCTACACCACGACATTCGCGTTATCACGCCTACAACAAGAACTAGGCTGTGACAAAGACATAGTAAGACTGATGAAGTAGCACAACCCGAGAAAAATTATCTAGAAGCAGAGGAAATAGTTGCATTTAACAGAACATGAAACAGAGAAAAACTTTCACAGAACAAGGGAAACACAGGTTAGGCATAATAGATTGGTTACAAATGAAAGACAATATGATAACTGCAACGGACGATATTAAGAAAACAGACAGGAAAGAAAAGTATGAGAAAAAGGTGGAATAGAACAAGGTTTATCATTGTCATCTGATACTGGAACATTGGAGATTTTTCAGACATTCGTAGGGAACAAGGTAGGGTTCAGTCACAAGCAACCTGAAGAGGCCTAACGTCTTAGTCATGCTACGCTACTGATAGTAAACAAAGCTTGTACACTGTCCACACCCTGCATTACCCAAGAACATCACTTGTATAATGATAGAAAATATTAATTATAGTGTTTATAAAATACTGGTATTTAGGTAGAAAAAGACTGGTGTCACTTAAGATAAGACACTCTGGGACATGAAAACTGAAGTCCATCCTTTTTTTTTTTACTGTAAATAAATTCCTCGGGCATTATTACCTCCTCCCTTTTGTTGAGTGCCTGCCTTAGAATTACAACAATTAGTGTCAGAAGTGGGATTTGAGCAGATCAACCAAAAGAAAGAATGACA